CAATATTTTGCAACTAATTTGCAACTTTAGGCAACCGGTATAAAAAAATTTGCAACCTTACATTTTTGATCTAATCCCTAAAACAAAATTGGTAGGGCCAAATTCACGCAGCCCCACCACATCGTCGTATTGACCTCGAACCTTTTTCATAATTTAGCAACTAATTTGCAACTTTAGGCAACCTTCGTGAAAAAATTTGCAACCTCGTGGTTACACCGAAAACTAATCCCTAAGTTGATGGTGACAAATTCACGCAACCCCACCACATCGTCATATTGACCTCTAGGTTCTAACCCCTTTTTCATAATTTAGCAACTAATTTGCAACTTTAGGCAACCTTTGTGAAAAAATTTGCAACCTCGTGGTTACGCTAGAAACGAATTCCTAAGTTGGTGGGGCCAAATTCACGCGGCCACACCACATCGTCGTTTAGACCTGGAATTTTTTGTGGCCAACATCTTTTTCTTAATCTATTTTATTACATACTAATATATTATTAAAATTTATAGTTTTAATTTAATAAATTAAGATGGTGATATAAATATAAGCACCATGTGCATATATTGTAATTTTTAGTAGGTACATTTTTATATTTGATACGCAAATCATAATTAAACAAAACAAAATAAAATATAATTTAACATTTTAAGTGGAGCATATTATTAAATATTCCTATATCTATAAAATATAAAACAATTTTAAGTAACCAAGAAGAGTTGTTTTAAAATTGTTCAATAATTAAAAAAGGACATTCTAGTTAAAAATAAAAGTTTTCTTGAAAAACATTAAAATAAAAAATGCATATTACGAAACTACTGTTTTATATAAACCACTAAATGTGGGTTGACCTTGTTGTGACCTTGTTTTGATTTGGAATTTTTTTTTGTAGGTCATTGTGTAGTTCCCAATTTCTCTGTTTTCTTCTTATAACAGCTACATAATGGTCTAATCCATATGAAACTATGCCATAAAATATATATCTAAAAACGAAGAATAATTATTTTTAATAACAATATTATAAATATATTTACTATTATTACCTGTCATCATTTAAATATATCTCTGTAGGAAATTCATTTAGAGAAAATAATATTTTCATCGTTATAAATTATAATTTAATACTTTGAAAATTTGTATTATGGAATTCAATTTGTTAAGTCCCAACGTCTTGTTTAATTAAAATGGTTTTAAATTTTACAGAAACGCTCTCCTTAACTCCCATCAACTTAGGGAGTCGTTTCCGGCGTAACCACGAGGTTGCAAATTTTTTCACGAAGGTTGGCTAAAGTTGCATATTAGTTGCTAAATTATAAAAAAAGTTCGAGGTCAATACGACGATGTGGTGGGGCCGCGTGAATTTGGCTCAACCAACTTAGGAAGTCGTTTCCGGCGTAATCACGAGGTTGCCAATTTTTTCACGAAGGTTGGCTAAAGTTGCATATTAGTTGCTAAAGGGAAAATATGTGGTCCAATTAATTTATTATCAAAAACGCCGCACCAAATATTTACTGAAAATTTTCCCTCACAGACTGACTGGCGAAGTTTATTTAGATTTTCTTCAAAATATGTTGCCTGTTCTATTAGACGATGCAGATGTAGATATAGCCGGTGTATATTTTCAACATGATGGTGCTTCACCGCAATACCGGCTAATTGTGAGAGAATTTTTTAATGAAAATTTTCCTAATACGTGGATAGGCAGAGGTGCTCCCAATCACTGGCCTTCAAGATCGCCTGACTTTAATTCGCTGGATTACCACGTTTGGGAACATCTAAAAACAAAAGTATATTCCACTCCCATAAATAGTAGGGAAGAACTAGTTGGGAGGATAGAAAACGCGTGCGAAGAAATGAAAAATAATCCCGATGTACTCAGAAAAGCCGTCAACCATATTTTAAAACGAGCAAGAAAATGCATCGAACAAAATGGAGGTCATTTTGAACAACTCTTGTAGTTTTTAGTAGCAATAAGGTTTATTACTTTATTTCCAACATTTGTATTTCTTTGTATTATTAGTTGTTATTTTGATTTGTTTATTATGTATTAATTAGTTATTATTTATGTGTTTTTCCTTTAGTTGTAAATGTTATTATTTGTTCTACTGAATGTTAGTCTCTTTCCATATTATTATCCTACATACTATTTATTGAAACTTAATAATTTATACAGGGTGCGGTCGAAAAAAAAAATAATTCTGATTTTTGGCCCTAAAAACGGACCTGAAATTATTTTTTGAAATGGTGTAGATGCATACAATTAAAAGTATTGACATATCTGTAGCTTTTAGAAATATACTTCTTTAAATAATTTGAAATATACCGTAATAAAATTAATAAAACTTCGTCCCTTTCCAGTTTGTACCTCCAAAATGCTCAAAAATAACAATTTTGACTTATTTCAGTAGTAAAATCGTCTGCGCAAAAATAAAATGTACATTATTGGATTCAGTTTTTTGTGCTCTTTTCAAATATGAAAACAAAAATTTCAAATTCAAACATACAGGATGTTGTTTTAAGGATGGACGAATTTATTAATTTTTTGTAAAGACGGACCTGGATTTCGTTTCTTGTTTATACCTTTTTAGATTTGGTAAGTTACATATACAGGGTGGTTAATAAGTTATGAGTCTGGAAAGAAATAGGCCAAATTGATAAAACACCCTGTATCTCGGCTATATAGGTCGAAAGACCCATTAAGTATGGGTTATTTGGAAGCACCTCAGTGGTCTTCATCCATGGTTAAAGGGAGTCCCTTTACCAATGAAACACCCTGTATAAAAAATATAATAATGAGATACATATTGTAAAATGTTATTCAAAGTATTCTTGCTCTGACTATTATCCTACCCTCACTGTTTACTGAAAAATGATGTGTTTTAATAACAGAATGAAAAAACAAAATTCTATAACTTTGTCTAAATAGGTAACTCTGCTTCAAATTATTGTTTAATTCTAGATAGAATATTAATCTTTTGATATGTACTTATAGGATTGATTACCCAGAGCATGTAGATATGTGAAATGTGACTTGTTAAGTGCCTCTTATAATCACAATGAATGTTTGATACTTATTGCTGTTTTAGAGACATTCTTTATTACCAACTGTAAACTAATTTACCAACAGCCTTATTTTTATGTAATACCTGCAGGGATCCAAATTAACAATACACCTAATATTTTAGGAAACACAAACAAATATTTTGCTTACTTCATAGTATTTACGGTTAGGTACAAAATACATGACCATTTTGAAGTAGTCTTAGAATAGTCTTAGACATTGAAACAAAACATAAAACATAAATAAACAGTCGTAAAACTAATTTACAGGTAAATAAAACAAATACCTTAAAAGTACTTTTAATTACCTTGCCTTAAAGTCCTTCCCTGGAACAATCTTTAAATTGACACATATACTACCAATTTATTAAAGTCGCAGTTCTTATTTAAACATATTATTTTTTAAATAAGCTCAATCAAAATATAGTTTTATGAGGTTTTATTAATTCTTTTATAGAGGAAATATTGTTTGCGATTTGGAATAGTGTTGCCAGAATATGTTTTTGTTATGTACTAGATTTGTCTAAAAAATGTACCAGATTTTTCGAATTCATTTTGAAGTAAAGTTTAATTCATTGAAGATCAAAAAAAGGAGTCTATAGATAACGAACACAAACAAGGAGCACAATATATATTTTACGCTGCACGCCGAGGAAGAAAAACTACTAGATTTTGATTAGAGTATCTTAAAGTACCAGATTCTTTGATAATGTACTACATCTAGTACAATTGTAAATTGTACTAGACTGGTAACACTGGTTTAGCAAGGTTCGTATGCCCTGCTCTATTTTGTGACGTCACACCTTGTTTCTGTGCGGCGCGCAAATCATTGTGTTTTTATGCAGTTTCACGGATCTGTTTGACGTGTTGACGTCTCTTTTTAGCTACATGCATTCGCGAAAACCTCTCGCTCATCTGTGCTCACTCACCATAGTGCGTTACAGACCAGTACACTTAGGTATACTATGCCACAGAGACGCGATCAGCCAGAGCGCAATATTGTACCAAAAAATAGAGATTAACTCGAATGAAAATGAAAATATTAAAATAAAATTTATATTTTTATGCAATTTTAAAATAATGTGTTTTTATGAAATTTAACTGGGTGTTCAATGCACAAATGATCCAATGGAGAAACCGCTTCTGCTGGCAAGCTATCTATGTGGCAAGAGTGTTGAAATTGAAATCACAGTTCATTTTTTGCGGGAATGGGTTTGTCGCTTCTCTGTGGTTGTTTTTCTGGGCCAAAACCACATCGTTCTGCCGTCACCGGTTTATCCATTCAGCTAGGCATCATGTGCCATATTTAATTTGGATCGAGCCTTTATTTAAGTATATAACTTTTTAATTTTTCCGCGTCTCAGTCATGCAGTGTTCGCATCAAAAATACAATATACCCTTTGGGGAACATGAACTTGACCACGTTTCTTATTGATTGTGGAAAAGCATTTTTCCTAATCGGTTTTCAAGAGAAATTATAAAAGTAACAAAATAAAGGCCATCGTCAAGAACAAAAAACTATCGTAAAATGTAATTATTCAGGTACAACGCGCTTCCAAAAAATTCAATAAGACCATCCGTTGGATCCATAGCGCTCGCGAAATGAAATCAGTGCAAAACATGAGAGCGTGATATTATTTCAATTTTTTTGAGTTACTATTGATTGGTAATTTAAGAGAAAGCTCTATGTCAGTGGTGAAGGTAAGGTACACCGGGGTAAGTGGAACATAAAAAATCACTAGTTCGACTAAACATGTATCTGTATTTTTTTATTTGGGTAGTAATGGATAAGGTTGCATAACTTGTTAGCCAGATGTATGCTGAATAAGTGTACAAAGGTATGAAAATGTTAAGAGGAAAATATACACAAATAATAACGGGGCAAGTGGAAATAAAAAATACACATAATACACAAAATTTTATTGAGAAATATTTTTAAGTATTTAACGAACGTTATACTGATCTAATGATATCGAAAATAAAACTAGAGACTTTTTTCTTTTTGTTAGACGTTGCAAATTCTCTGGATTTGGCAAAACAAAATCTATTTGCTCTTTAAAAGGAATAGAAATATCTTCCACGTTGGGAAAATAAAATATTTTATCGTTTTTGGCGCACTTTCGTAGGCAACTAATTTTAACCTCTAGATCAAAGACCTTCAAAATCTTAGCCACATAATAAATATTATCGGTCGTTCTTTTAATGGGAAACTTTATTAGAACAAAGTCTTCTGATTTTGGTTCTCGGTGAATTTCTTCTTCAATAGGAGGGGATGGTGACTTTGCCCACTCAATATCATCGTCAGAGCTAAAATCTTTTGAAAATAAACTGTGGTGTTCATCATCACTACTATCTATATTTTCTTGCAACAAAACTTTGTTTATTTGTTTCCTTTGTTTGCCTTTCTCACATAATATTACATCTTGTTGTTCATCATCACTACAATCTTCATTTTCTTCCAACAAAACTTTTTTCGTTTGTTTATTTCGTTTGCCTTTCCCAGATAATTTGGCATCCAGTTGCATTTTTTGTTCTTTTATTTTTTGCACATAGTCGTCGAGAGATGTTATAATTTCAGCACCAGGGCTTTTTTTTTTTCGTTTCTGAGTAGTGTTTAACGGATTTTGCTTAACGTGTTCAAGAAGAATCTTTTCAAAAGATATTTCGACTAAATTAAATGTCCCTGGTTCTTGTTGCATGCCATTTGTATTTTGTATTCCTTCTTTGTTTTTATTTTCGCATTCTTGACCAATATTATCTAAAACGCAGTTATTTAAGGATGGCTCGACAAGTGATGAGGTAGATGCAGAGGTATAACAAAGATTAAATCTATTTAAAGATTCGATTTCAAATTTATCTTTTGAAATAACCGAATTGCAAAATGGATAAATTCCTGCCTTGCGAAATCCACTCTTGATAATATCGAAATTTAATTCTTTCCACACTTCGGAAATTATGGCAGAAAACACAGACTTTGGTAATTTTTTACCATAATTTTTTCTCTGCCACTTAATAATTGCCTCGTCGTACTTTTGTTTTAAGGGTTTAAATACTGATAGGTCCATTGGTTGCAGAAGGTGGGTTGTATGTGGGGGTAATTTTACTATTACATTTTCCTGCAAAGCTTTTTCTATAAGACCTATTGAGGTCTGGGAAGAATGTCCATCATAAATGAGAACAACCGGTCTCTCTTTTGGAATGTAATTTATGAAGGTTCGTTGAAAATAATTAGCGAATGTTTGTGTTTCCATTCACCCATTTGATGTTGCTGAATGATATTCATCTTCACTGTTTGCTATTCCACACATTTTTCCCATTAAATATAATAAGTTGGGGTAATTTTTCTCCAGCTGCATTAGCACCCATTAGAACAGAACATTTTTCCCTGCCTGGTCCAGCGGTAACTGTATGAGCAGCTTTGCTTTTTCTCCAACGACTTTTACCCGACTAGGATCGATACAGAAGCTAGTCTCATACATGTTATAGATTTGTTCTGCTGGAACATTTAACGTTGCTTCTTTTAACAAACTAAAATAATTAGCAATGACAAAAGGATCCACGCTTTTCTTTCTAGCTACTTCAACAGCTTGTGGTTTTTTCTGATAAAGGTGGTGCCGTTTTTTAAAATTGATAAAGTAGTCTTCTCCAGGAAGCGAGTCCTTAAAACAAGTTTTCAATCCATTATCTTTTACGTACTGTCCAATGGAAAAAATAATTTCTTTTTTGGAGAGTCCAAACCCCCACTTTTCCATGGTCTTAATACACTTTGCCATCTTAGTTTCAACGTCAAGCGGTATAGCTGTAGGTCTACCCATTGAAGTGCTCTTTACGCCTCTCTGCCCTTTGACTCTTTTAAACAAGGTCGCTTTCGGTATACGATAATGTTTGGAAGCTCTATATAGTCATCTTACTACTTCGAACAGCTTCCACTGCTTCTTCCAGTTGTTCTTTGGAATACGGTGCGGGTGCTCTTTTTTTTGTATAATTTCGAACCATTTTTACCTGTAACGATAATTAAGATAACGTAATTTTCCTAATATATATTAAAAAATTATCAACGGGGCAAGTGGAACATAGTCTCCACTTGCCCCTGTGTTGTTGGTTTCTACTTGCCCCAACCACACAAAAAGTGGGGCAAGTGGAACCTATCGATTTTTTAAATTAAATGTTATTGAATTGATTACTTCTACAATACAAATAACAAATACACATAGAGTCAATACCTAGGTACCAGCACAAAAAATAATTTAACTCCACTTTAAACGACATAGGGGTCTATTCTATAACAATTCCTCTATATTTAACGGCCTTTAAAAATATTTTCTTCTTTACTTCTGTCATTATTTAAACGGACCTTTAAAATACATTAGAGGACTATCTTAAAGAAATCTGTTTAAATAATGACAGAAGTAAATTAACGAATACAAACATATTTTTAAAGGTCGCCAATATTTTTAAAGGCCGTTTAATATAAAGGAATTGTTACAGAATATACCCCATAAACAGTCAAAACAATAAACGCGCGAACAGTAAAGCTGGCAGTAAATAAATTATGTAGGAGTATTTTAGTGGGAGCGGGGGGACCATTTAATACCAATTCCTACAGATGGCACGCGTTATACCATTTAAAGTATTGTTTTTGGTCGTGGGTTCCACTTACCTCATATTTACACTTACCCCGGTGTACCTTATGTTTTTACATATTTAGTTGTATGAATAATAATAATTTTAGTCATTATATAAATTTTTTTGAGATACTATTGATTGTTAATTTAAGAGAAACATATATGATCAGTGGTGAAGGTAGATGTTTTTCACATATTTAGTTGTACTAACAATCATTTTAGTCATTGCTTAAATTATTTAAGATACTATTAATTGGTAATTTAAGAGAAAACTCTATGGTCAGTGGCGTACATGTTTTTCATAATAATCTTGTTATGATTTAGTTTTCTTTTTCGGAATTTGAAGAATAGGTTTGGAAGTTTTTGAAAAGGAATTATTTAAAAGCTGAAATACAATTTGTAGGTTTATTATTAATAGGATCTAACACAAACAAAAAATAATGTTCACACTGGAGTTACCAGATTACCAAGGATAAGTTGTTTTATAACTTGCTTTTACCCACTTCGTTAAATCCATTTTATCATTATACTAGGAGACTATCTCCTTGTCTTATTAACGAACTGTCTACACAAATTATAGGGTGGCGTTAAACCCCGTTTATGCTAATGTTTATGGTACACCATATATCTTCGAATAAACTGGTTATATGCTAACTAAAATCGGTTATTCTAAACTACTTATACTAATTAAAACTGGTTATGCTAATTAAAATCGGTTATGATAATTAAAACAGGTTATGTTAATTGAAACTGGTTATGGTAATTAAAAACGGTTATGCTAATTAAAACGAGTTATGCTAATTCCGCATTATTATGGACGCTAGAGGGTAAATTATAAATACCAGAGTAGTACCCTAGCGTGGTTTTTATTAAAATTAATTTGAATCGCGAATATTCATAAATCACGTACACGGGGCAATATTTAAATTAACAAATAAACTTGACAGCTGCTAAAAATAAATGGAAAAACAAACAAAAATATTCTAAAATATTCATAGACATCTTATCTTAATTTTAAAATACTTGAAAGGTAGTCAAAAAAATAAAAAAATAATTTGAAGTGTGTATAGGAAATTATTTTATCGGTTACGTTGGATCAAAAAAATTGATAAGAAAATATTTTTGATATAAATATACGAGTTCTAATTGATTTTTTAAATTTTAAAATTATGTTGATCTTGGGTTCCGTTTTAATTATAGCTCTAGTAGCTACATCTAGTGCTTATGAACACCATGATGACTGTACCATTACTAAATTTTCGCAGGTAAATATTTTTGTAATATCTTTTAGTAGCTAGGCGTAAGTTTAAGTTTAGGTTAAAAATTGTACAACCCTTTTATTTTGATAAAAATCGTAGTTGAGTTAGATTAAACTTAAAAGTGAAATTTTTTAAATTGAGATCCCTTCTATCGAAATTTTTAATCATAAAGAAGTTTAGTTTTCGAAGAAAATCTTCATTTACTTGTTTAATTAAGTACTTAGAAGCAGATCTAGTTTTAAATACTATTATTGTTTATTATTCGCGATTATAAGCAGACAATACAATAATTCCAAATGGTTACAACGTAAAATGTTGCATATATATATATATATATATATATTACTTGTATAAAACTTCATCACTGATAAACCTAATTAAAGTACATTTCCTTGCAAAATTCAGGAAAAGGTGGAATGAAACAAGAAGCTGCAGTGTTGTCAGGGACCTTTTAAGTTACTTTGACAACACTACAGCAAACAAATACTTGACTAAGGCTAGATAGAATCCGTGCCTAATTACATGTATTCTGCCAGGTATGGAAGCCTCTCCATAGCATGAAGGTGCCAGAATCCGTATTCTGCAGGAGGTGCGAATAGGAGCATGAGTCTATCGAGCATAATTTATCCTTTATGATTGCCTGACGCTCTTATTTATTAGAATATTTTTACCTAGAGCCTTTATCACGGCGGTTTCGATGATTTCAAAACGCGCACCTTTTAGGGCAGTTGTGATCCTCGAGTCTGCTGGAGAAAGTGCAGGAATATAGGGTGGCTGAGGCAACGTTAGCAACTCCTAGAATCGCTGCAAGTATTGTCTTGATAAAGCTGCCGGTAGTGGCGACCTTTCGACAGCGAATGACTCTTTTGCAGCATTTTCATATAGTGGTTATCACCAGAACACTCATTCAATGATCAATATTTAAAAAATAAAGAACACGAGATATACGAGTGTGGTTTGACGGAAGAGTGACTTTTCATTGAAAAAGTTACTTTAATATAAAAAAAATATTTTATTTTTCAACATAAACTCTTTTTAACTCTATAAACTTAGCCCAGCGAGTTTTCAAATTTTTTCAAACGATCCAAAAAATAATCTGTCGGAAGTTCCGCAAAATACGCGTTTGTCTCTGCCATCAGCTTTTCATTTATTTAAAATCTCTTTCAACCAAGCCATTTTTTTAAGTCTGGGAACAAAAAGTAATCGAAGGGAGCCAAATCAGGTGAATGTGGCGGATGAGGCAATAAATCGTAACGCAATTCAGCTAATTGTTATGCAACAATAGCGGGCGAATGTGCAGGCGCATTGTCGTAATGGAACAAAACAGTTTTCTTTATATGAGAATTAAAACTAATCTATCTATCAGATTTGTGTAAAATTTTGACAGATGACATCAGAAACATGGCGAAAATTGCCAATATAATCACCGTAGCGAAAATGTTGCCAACCTCTGAAAAGTAACTCGTATGTTCATCATTTTTGCTGGTCGAATGCCGTTAAGAGTGTGTTTCATCCAGCCGTGTTAAAACAAATTGAACCACTTTAAAACTTAAGAATCAGAGGGCGCAGAGTCCCTATGATTTTCATGAATCATTTGATGAATCTAGTCTTATCTACAGAAGCTATTAAAATAGAAAGAAG